GGTTAGGGGGCTAGGGGGTTAGGGTTAGAACTGCACTCAGTTGACCCGGTCATCCAGCCTGCTTCCGGCTAGGACATTTCCGGCTAACCCACTTCCGCTAGGGCCCACTTCCGCTAGACCACTTCCGGCCACTTCCGCTTCCGGTTAGCCCACTTCCGGTTATGACGTCACTTCCGGGCTATCTAGACGGTTTATACTACTCATGTCAGCGCCCATATATCAGAATATCTCGCTATACGCAAAGAACTTTATCCGTTAATAACCAATATTTGCCCCCCAAATCAACCTTTGATGGAGATATATTTAATTAAGTTTTTAAACAGGGGAGTATATATATGCTGACTTCAAAGCAGTGAATATTTTCATAAGTAATGACGCCATAAGTACGTAATGACGTCACAAACATGACGTAAATTCAGTTTTTTATGAATTTTACAGAAAAATGTACATATTCCGTCGATATTTTGAGTAAAAGTCACTGAGCGCATATGTGTTCAGGATCAATATTTTGATATAATGTGTAATGTGATAATATCAATGAAATATGTCAATATCGTTCCTGAACAAACTTGCGCTCTATAAATCTTAAAGCTAAAATTGTTGAAATTTTCTCCATTTTGTCCTCTTTCTGAAAAAGGATATAAAATCGGACTAGTTTCCGACGTCATAAAAACAAAAATTGTGAATACACTGCTTTGACACTATAATATTTTCTGTTAATTTATATTTCTCATACAATTTATTGAATTCAGCACATTTCAGGAAATTTTCAAATTTTGACTTTTGTGGGGGCAAATATATGCAATATACCGCATGTATAGTTCTTTGGTCGAGGAGAATTATAACTCCACGAAACATGCCAATGGGAGTTTATTGATATACCCCTCCCTCATCAACCCCCTTGCAAGATCCCTGGCTCGCCGTGGATATTTCAAACACACTCCCTAGGCCACGAGAAAAAAAAAATTAATCTAGCAAACTTGATAGACCCTTATTTTCACTTAATTTGTAACATTCATGTAGTAAAAAAAATAAAATCAGACTTATTTAATGCAGGATATTTGTTAATTGTGTACACATACATTAATATTTTATACAGGCCACAAGTATTTATTGATATATCAAAGACAAAACATCAGTAATCATACTATCAGTGTATAATTTAAAGTTATATCGATTTTAAAATCGGGATCGGAATCCCTCCGATTCAGATTCGTTTCATATTCATTTTCAGATTCGGATTCGATTCATATTCAGAAACATCTCTAATATGAATATATTTCCCATTTTTACGGATAAATGTGTTTGCCACTCTAAGTCTGCACAGGCGATTTCAAAATATGTGACAACTTTCGTTATTATGTATATATATAATTTATTCTTTTATTTATTGATTTATTCTTTGATTTTTTAGGTCACCTGAGTAAACTCATTACTAGTCCAAAGTTTAAAGAAAAACATGATAAGTTTTAATTAATTTTTAATTAATTTGATTACAGTGGGTTTTTTTGTTTAAGTACTTTGGGACTGGGGGATTGGGCAATAAGAATTGGGAATTTCAGCTTCAATTGGCTAAATTAATTAGGGAGTCTCCCAGAAACCCAGTCATTAAAACAGCATTGTCAAAATGCTTTGTTTTTGTTTTTGTATTACTTTAAAACAAACAATTGTTATCACAACTCAAGACTATTCTTGGTATGAATTATCTAATTACTTGCATCAAGAACAATAGTGGTATGAATTAACTAATGAAGAAAAAATCCAACATGGCTGAACAACCACAAAACCTGCTTGAACAATACTTTAAAACATGTAATAAACAAACTGAATTTGAGCACATATTTCGTACGTTTTTCTTTGGGATGACTTTCATTACAATAACGGAAAACACAGACATATTTTCCATTGGAACTAGTGTCAAATTTCGGCCCGAAATCGGCCCAAAAAATCGCGGGATTAAAATATTTTTCTTCTTCTCAAAACTACTAGTCCGACGGACTATCAAAGGGTAACAATTAGCTAGTCCGCCCCCATAAACATTAGGTCCCGGACCTCGGACCACCGTATTTTTTAACCCCTGCTACTCCTGGGTATTAAATAAACCAACTAAGTACATAGTTATGATTCGCAAGAGTGCCTCTACCAAAATTGTGAATTTTATGGCCCCAGGGTCAGGGCCTCTGGTGTTAGGGCGGGGCTCTATTGATTATATAGTGAAAATACATGAATTCTTTGAAAATCTTCTTCTTTGCTCCTGGGTATTAAATAAACAAACTAAGTACATAGTTATAATAAGCAAGAGTGCCTCTACCAAAATTGTGAATTTTATGGCCCCAGGGCAGGGGTTCTTATTTTAGGGTGGGGCTCTAATGATTATAAAGTGAAATGCATGAATTCTTTGAACATCTTATCCTTTGCCCCTGGTTGATATGATAATGATCTAATTACATATGTAAGGCCAGGATTTATTTTATTTTGAGTTTTACAAACCCTCCGCTCAAGGAAACGGCGGGTAAATAAAGCTAGATCTGAGAAGATAATGATTATAGCTTGGTTTAGTGTAAAAGTCATCGATAAGAGCGCCGTTCAAAACGTTTCATCCGTTCAAAGGACAAATAAAATGCTGACGACTTTGTTGCACAATGACATGCTGGTGAGATAATGATGTATTCGTTTCAAAAGTAATTAAATTATTTTCCTCCCCCAGGTTTTTAACTGCCCATGGTAGCTATTGCATATTGCCAGGGACATTGTTAAGGTCTCTGTTATAGCTTACAGTCTAAGCATCATTCTTCAGAAAAGGGTTGCTTATGCATCAGATGTAATGAATAAAACTTATCTATGGGAGAAGTGAAGTTAATTTGAGGAAGAAATAAACAATAACCTGAAGAAATAAAAAAAATTCAACTATTAAAAGGCAAGAATATATAAATATATACAGGCATGTAGTATCATTTGTATCAGCCAAAAAAAATTATTTTACACTTAATTCAAAAATTTTTCACAATACTCCCCAATACTCCCTGTCTGTTTTATGATAGGAATTATAACTTTAGGCATCCAGTAAATTTTAGAACAATGTCTACACATTCGCATAACACATATTAAAAAAATGAAGATTTATTGAAAGACTTTAAAGAATTGATTTTTAAAAATATTTTTTGATCAACATCAAAAAATTTATATAACTGTTCCAAACTGGCAGATGATGAAATAAGCAATTAAATGTTCTATTTTCCTTTTTGTAAGCATAATGTGTCCAGTGGTAAGGAGCCTATTAGGATAGCATAAAAAAGAATATACAAATGTTAATAATTGATTTATCAAAAAAAAAAATTTATTTCCTTCTCCTTCGGGACTTTTTTATTCTCATGTTCATAACTAAACCTAAACATAAAAAAATGCTGGCCCTATAATGAAGAAAGGGACCTCTTTCAAAATAGATAATTTCAGGGCTGCTGGGTCAGGGGTACCAGGGGGGTACTTTGACTAAAAATAAATTAATGCTTTGAAATCTGCCCTTTGATAAGCAATGGTGCCTCTTTCAAAATTTGTGAATTTCATGGCTTTTGGATTAAAACACGAACCAAATACAATCGCTGGAAAGTTGTTACATGATACTCAGGTGACCTATAAGGCCCGTGGGCCTCTTGTTATTTAATTATTATTGTAAGAAAGATCAGAAATATTCCAATTAATTAAGTTCGTCTGACGTTCACCGCTCGTTGATTACTTTGTGCTTATGTTTGCGTTCCATCTGCATTCTCTATTCGCGCACCTTTCAAATTTTCTAACCGCTCTAAAATTGTATATTTAAAGCGTTCACACATCGTTCACTCTCACTGCTCAGTGTGCTTTCACCGTTCAACTGGGAAAGTTCAGTCCTATGAGGACAAAGCATTCCAATACGACAGAGCATACCCGCCATAAACTCTGTGTATTGATCAAGTAGATTAAATTTCTGTGGAAAAATAAACTTTAAAATAAAAGGTCTAGTTTTTCTTAAATAATAAGGTTATTAAAATAGTCATAGTCTTTACAAAATGCTTTTTATGAAACAAGGTTATTGTAATTCCTGTTATACAAAATTATCTGCCACAAGCTTGTCACAAATGATACAATAATTTATATAGAAGTATTAAAATTCATCTGAAAAGTGCCGCATCTACATGTGAAGCATGTACACAGCACAGTTAAGGTTACAAGAAAAGAGGCAGAGCCGAATTTATACGGGAAACTTAACTTTGACATCATAGAAAATCTACGTCATGCAAAAATTCTTAAAAATAACACAAAATGAGGCAAATTGCTAATTTAACCTGTAGGAAACTCAAACTTCATCAAAACCTACTACAGCATGCCATTTTGTGGTTAGTTAAATCCCACATAACAAGTTATAAACAAGTCACTTATTGCATTTCATGGATCAATGTGACCTCAATTCGTAAAATGTGACGCAGTTTGTATGTATTAGAGGTACATCAAGTGATATTTTCCCAACGAAAAAAAATAAAAAAAAAATATAGACAGATATTCCAATAGCCATTAACTTGGATTCAATGTCTTCTTTACGATTTAATTAATATATTTTCGAAATATTACGTATTTAATTGATACTGCCGTATTTTTGTATGCAAATACATGTAGATCGGTGTATAATGTGTGTTTCTTAATCTATCGATCTAATGCAAGGGCATTCATTCAATAGATCATAGTAAGTTTTTACAATTCAACTATAGAAGTATTAAAAATTTAAGGAATCTGAAAAGTGCTGCGTTCCTGATGAAATCTTGAAAATAATTTAATTGCATCAAGATTTCATGCCGTTGACCAGCGAAAAAAACAGCATTCGATCATTGAAATTTACGCCAATCAGTATTTTAAAATTGTCTATGTTGCTCTGACATGAAATTGAATAATTTTAGTTTAGTCTTTAAAACTATATTTAATTTGAAGTCATAATTGAAGTAATAATCGTTTTTTAAATCTCCAAATGTTTAACTATGTTTTCCTACCATTAGCTTTTACAGACAATTCAAATAAAGAAGGGAAGTCACTGTTGAGTGTCATGGATTTTGGAGGACAGTGTGCATATTATGCCTGTCATCAGGTTTATCTCAGCAGAAGGGCTTTCTATCTACTGGTGATAGATATGTCAAAGTCGTTTAATGAAAGGATTGACAGAAGATTTTGTGATCAGGAGGAAACTATGTTTGCAGATTGGACTTATGGAGGTATTCCAAATATCTCTCAAGTCATTTCGTGTTTATCCCTATATTCGATGGATTTCACTCATTAGATTTTTTTTGCATATCACACTGCTGTGAAGTCACAAGGAATTTTTCGTAGGAACGATTTCGTGAAATAAATTTGATTCCAGTGTAAAAATTTAAGAGCGATGAATAAAACATGGAATAAAAAGAATATCATTTTCATTGAAATCATCATGTTTTTTCCCTATCGTATTGACTCGAAGAATAAAAAAATCGTTGCAAAAACATCAAATCAAACAGAAAATCAAAGATTTTATATTTATAACTAAGTGAATATCGCTTTGTTGTTGTCGATCTGTATGCCACTTGAACGTAGAAAAATTACGGTTAAGTGTAGTTTCCATCCATTTTTTTCACAGAGTTTGAACATACTGAAATAAAATTTGGTGTACAAATTCTAGCATATGTAGGTACATGTAATGTTCTGGTTTGTGTATGCTCAAGTGATTCTTAATTGATTTCTTCTCATTATTATTGGGAGGGTTGACATACGTGTTTCACTAAAACTGCCTTGGTAAAATATGCAAGTTTTCAATGAAAAAGCATGAACGACCCCGCGAACTGAATATCTTCTTGTAACAATAAGATTTTCATAAATTCTTTATTACGTAACAGTTCACTATTTGACGGGTAACATGATTTTATTTTAGGTTTAACATTTACGAAATATGAAAATTGTTGACACACATATATATATTATTATAACAGTAACTTGATCTGAAGGGTCGTATCACGTCGAGTTAAAAGGCGTGGATCATCAGATCTAATGAGACGCGAAGCGTCGAGTTTGATCTGATGATCCGCGCCTGTCAACGAGACGTGATACGGCTATTCGGATCAAGTTACTGTTATAATGATAAATTTATTATAGACCCCCTCATAACTAGCAAAATATAGGAAAAGAATACCTTAGAGATCAATTGCATAACATTTATCTCTAAAACAAAGCATAATAACAAGGGACTTTTTCACGCGCAAGAAAAATAACATCATTTTTCTGCGTACTACGTCATCAGTTTCAGAGAGTGGTGATATGGATTCAGAAAACAACATGTTGGTGATCCGGAAAATCGGATCACGACGTCACGTGATAGGGTAAATTCAACAGTAAAATTGGGTGATACACATTAGGTATATAATAAAATACGATATTGCATTTCCACCAATTCACGGTTTTAAGCAGGCATAATTTATTTCTCAGATGTGAACAAATATGCTTTTTTAACAGAATATCTCTTGTTCTGGATGAAATCTATCCATATGTATTGTGCTGAAGCTGCACCTGTAATACTTGTTGGGACTCATCTTGATAAATCTACAGGACAGGTATACACAATTTAAATTGAATGGAACTAGGTTTTCAATATATAATGAATGAGTTTCGAATGATTTAAAATACGGTAGACGTACTTTTTTCCACGGGGTCATAATTCCGCGGAATCTAAATTTGCGTTTGATCCGCGGGTTGAAAATTACGCGGATATCTTAGACTGGCACTATATGCCTTGCATTTATGTTAAGTACGCTTAAACCACGTACATAACGTAAATTAATACCACGCAGAAAAAAGTACTTCTACAGTAATTTTAAATCAGTTAAAATGCACTGCTAGATAACAATAAATAAAGAGTGAAATTAACCAAATTCGAAAGACTGATAACATGAAAGGAGACAGTCATTTTACACGTTAAAAGTTTTTGAAGAGTTATCGGCCCTTTATGAAAAGAAGAATTTTTTTTTTGATACAAGTATCTTAAAATTTGTGCGGAAAATAATTTCTTTTATCTCAGAATCTAATTATCTAAATGTTTATGCACCTTTTTCCCAAGAGATTTGTTTGAAATTCAAATTACTTTTTGCAGTATATGTTAAAAACAAGTGCTCCCCAGCCCATAGACATCAATAAAAATTTTAAGGTGCGATTAATTGGACAATAATCAAAATGTTGTAATTTCCATTGGTGGAGCATGTTTATTTGATTACGTCTTCAAAATGAATCAAGATTAAAAATATCGGATCATTCATTTATAAGGTGCAAAATTTGGTCGTTATACATTGAATAGTTTAAAAGCAAATCTAATCACTGATACAGAATAAAATCTTATAGAAGTTATAGAAGTAGATGTAGATCTAAAGAAATCAGCATATAAATAGAAATATTCTAATGCAATTGTTTTGTAAAACACGTTTTGATTGGCTAGTGTACTGATGTCTGAAGAAGTAAAACGAGCATTAACAGGAGTGAAAGCTTTTCATTGTGACGTCATAATAGAGCGACACAAAAACACAATGCTCAGTGACGTATTTCATGTCTCAAAAAATCAACAAAATAAGCTGTAAACAACAAACGTAATCCATTGATTGCATTAAATGAAGGAATAACTATCTTCTATTTTGGCATTTGCAACCGTCAATGCTGATTTAACGGTCGAAAACATCCGTTTTACCGGCTCCACTTACGCGTCGCCGGTAAATCTCAGTTTGCGACCATTAAATCAGGATTAACGGTCGCAAATGCCAAATTAGAAGATAGTTATTCCTTCATTTTCTTCCTATTTTTTAAAAATTTTTAGGCATTCAGTTTTATAAATAATGTATAATATTCTAAAAAAAAAATTGAAAGAAATTGATGTTTCGTGGCCTTTTTAATAAAGGAAACTTACTTAGCATGCATATCAATTTCCTTTGCTAACAATAATTTAAACAAAAAGTATATCAATAATTCAAACACATTTGAAGAAATGAAAAAATCTGAAAACTATATATAAAGCCATAATTCTACTCTTAACCTAAATTTTCTATGTTTAGACCACCGATTCGTTCTACAATAGTATTATTAAGCATCTACGGTTTGATAAAAGCCTCAAGAAACACTTGGACAGAAAGAGATGCTTCCTTGTAGGATTTCAAAGCAAAAATGACCCTTCCTTAGATGATCTTTCTGAACTGATGATTTGCATCGCTTCAATTGCAAAAGAGGATCGATGGAAGGAAACTATACCAACTGACTGGGCGCTGGGTGAATCCACCCTCAGGTACCTCAGAGGACAAAACCGTCGAGTTATTTCGAAGAAAGACTTTCAGAAAGAATGTTTTGGTAAAATCTATGAAAAATATAAACAAGTTCCGGATATCTTAAAACTCTTCCATGAAATCGGGGTAATTTTGAATTTTAAAGAAGGCGTTCTTTCTGAAACTGTTATAGTTGACATCCAGTGGTTAGTCGATGCATTCAAAAATATCATAACAGATTTGAACCACGTCATGGATGTTGTGGAAAACAATGATGATTGGCAAAATTTTTACCAAAATGGATATCTGTCGGACTTGCTTTTGGAAGGAATATGGTCAACTAAAGGTTTCAAGGTTGGAACATTTAAATCCACGATCCTTCAATACATGCAGCGTCTTGGTCTGCTTGTTGTTGGTGTCAACCAGCACTACATACCGTGCATGAATAAGTGTACCTTTAATTTGATGCCGCCCATGAGGACAGTTTTAGAAGGTGGGAAAATAAGACCTCAGTGCTTGTTCTTAGATTTCAGTTTCTTCCATATTTCATTTTCTGTCGCCTTGTTGTCGCCTGTATAACAAGAACAGATGGAGAATTGGGATTTCTTTACGACCAAGGATTACGTCTGTTTAAAGACGTCGCTTGCTTCGCTTACAAGGATCACAAAGTTGGTGTTGCTGTAACCCATTCATCGATACAGATCCAGGTATTTAAACCTGGTAACTCTATTCTAGAAAAGAAAGTTACACTGGAGGTACGTAGTACCATAGAAAGGCTACTGAAAGAACTCTCAGGAACTTTTCACAAGGAGATAATGTACACTGCAGGATACCAGTGTTCCATGAACGAAGTGTTTAGAGAATACGACGGGTGTTTTGTTGAGGAGACAGAAATTTACAGGAAGGGTCAAATAGATTGTCCAAGACATGCGTTGTTACATCATCGTGTTCTCTGCGAATCAGATTTACTGTATTACTGGAAGCAGGTGAAAACTTTTTTTATCGTAACATACGTATTATTATCTTTTATCTAGGTAATGCTTATTATATGCAAAATTAAAAAATGTTATCATACTAAATGTACTTTCTATTTTTACATGTAACAGGGCTGTAAAATTGAAAATCCAGAGAATCCAGGTTAGTTTCCTTTTTCATTATAAAAAAGATACTGGTATGATATAAGTATGGCGCGAAGTTACGTATGAATTACTTTATAAAATAATATCTTAATAACAGTGGCTGCTTTACGTCAAGACAATTTTATTGTCGCTTATGAAGAGGGACTGCGAAAATTCAATTTCAAGACATTTGAACAACTGACAAAGGTTGGACGAGATGCCCTTCAGATCTACTTCGATAAGAAATTCCCATTAAAGGACCTTGTCAGCATGTCATCGAGACAAGCGAAAGTGAAGAAAGCACTTCGTCTGAATGATGATCAATGTGCTAAATTATTTCCAGGTATATATTATCTTATTTGTAGACTGTTTCATGGAGTCATTCAAGGACATAGGTGATGTCTATAATTACATATGTATAAAATTTATGGATTGATTTTACATGTTTTATATGCAGATCCTATTCATTTTTGAGTTTAGCAGGAAACATCCTTCGGCAAATTTTTAAACTAGAAATGTACACGTGTATTTGGTAGAAACATTGTTGAACATAAAATCCAGACACGTAGCATCCGAGGACGAGGGGGGTATCCCCGACATCTTTTCCCTTGAAATGTAACATTTCACAATTAAAAATGTTTCATGAATGCCGATTGCACGCTTTTTTGTTGCTGTTAATTTATTAGGAAAGAAATATTTATAACATCCCTCTTCTTGTACAAAAAGGAATTAACTAGTTTGGAGACAGTTTTCATGTTTCTGCATTTTAAATGTTATCTTTGGGTAAGTTGTTTCCCTTGTTTGCACCCCCTTTCATAAACAATCCTACATTCCTGATGAAAAAATTCTGTATATAAACAATATTCAGATACAGAATAATACCTTCAGGAACGAAGCAGAATAAAAAGTATTTCTTTTCAACTTAATTAAGAACTCTGTAAAAGTGTGAGATTTAAAAGTTATTTATCTAAGAATTCTTTTTTTGCAAATATTTAGACCATTTGATTTCATATTTCGCTTTCAATTTCACAAAAAAATATTCAACGTTGCATCTTTCTAGTTACAGTTAGTAGAGGCGGCTTCAATTGAAATTTGATATATATCAAAAAAAATCTTTTGATAGGGCTATTCGTATACGCTTTCCTCTGTTTAGAAAATTAGAAATTAATATTTTTTAGGTCCTTATACAAATAGTCTACATTCTGTTGTAGCTAATAAGTCCAATCCTTCCTCAGAAATGTTTGATGTGACGATGATGTACACGATGTTACGTAATCGTAATCCAAGTATACAGGCCCCGACTAAAGGTTGGGGAAAGACTCCGGAAACATCCGATACAAGATTGACAGATGACGTAGAAAGGATCCGGATTTACAGAAATGAAATTGGGCATGCAACGGAAGCAACAAGTAAATTAGAAAAGAAGGAACTAGAGGAGAAAGCAAGAGATCTCATGCAGGTATTATCATTTAAGATAAACCATTATAATCTGTGGTTCATTCATGGTTTCCAAGGTTCTCATGCGTTGTTCGTGAATTTCATGTCAATCTTTGCTATACTATATTCATGAAATTTACCATGAGCACACCATATGTAAATTCCTTTGTTTCATAAGGTTTCTGCTACATCATATTTCATCAGCATTTTTTGCAATCGCTGAAAACAACTTTAATTTTTCACATCAGGGACGTAGCGTTATGTGTTTCTCAAAAAAGCTTTCACTACACATTTCACACAGTCTGGCACAAAATGCTTACCCATTACTTAGTAATTCTTTATCAATTGAAATTAATAATTCTTGCAGTAGCATAATGTTTTTCGTCAATTATTTTTTTATTTTTTACCGCCTATATGTGATTGCCCAAGATCAGAAACTGTGAATATGTTTGTTAAGGAAGTAACTCACCCTTCAATGAATACTTTAAAGATTTCTTACAGTCATTCGATTTCCTCACACATCATTCTAGATTGTTACAGAGTCTCTATCATTCAAATTATGTCTTTCACCTTTAGTCAGATGTTTGGTTCCCTTTTGTCACAATTCCGATTTTCTCCAGCATGTCTGATAATATAGTTGTTTTATTTCTTATCTTGATCAGGTCTTTATTCATTTAGTTTTGGATCTTTTTAATTAGGTTCCGTAAGTTACAGTACATATATGACAAAGTTGGCGGTAAAATAGCATGGATTCTTAAAATGATTAGATTTTATTGAATTTAACTATCTATGTACCTAGGCGATTCTGGGGTTGAGCAACGGAGTTCTGAAACAAAAAATGATGAATGTGTTGGAAGGAAGAACATAGCAAAGTGAGTAATCAACACAATTATTAAAAAAAATCAAAAAGTTCTAATTCGATATTTTTTGGGTATTAAACAATTCTATGAAAAGTATATTCACGAGGGTTGTCCGAAAAGTTCGTGTACAAGATACATTCTTTATGAAGCTGTATCATTGATACTTGAATTACAAAATGTAACATTATTCATGTAAAATGTTATTCAATGTAAAAATTTTCAATTTCAAATCTATAATAACAATCATTCCTTCATGATAAGTCTTAAGATGGCGATCCGGAGCACCGCAAATTTCCATTCAAGATTAATTTTTTTACTACATGAATTTCATATATTTTAGGAATGACTCTAATTCTTGGCCAAATTATTCGATTATAACCTGTTTTGGGCCAGTTTATGCTTTATAATCCGCGAAGCGTAAACTGACCCAAACCAGTTTATTATCGAATAATTTGGCCAAAAATTAGAGTGAGTCCTTATAATTTAATTTTAAATAATTAAACAAGTGTGGGTATAAAATTATGCTGCTTTTTATGAGTTCAAATTTGCCGCTCAATAATACATCCCTAGTAACGGAAATGATGGTTAACAAGGGAGATAATAACTGATTCCCGGATCTAACAACCATGATGTTTGTTTACATGACGTAAGATCGAGCTACCGTTTAAAGTTAAAGGTACATTTATTAAATCTGGAATTTTCCATAAATCCCAATAACTGGAAATGAGGGGTTGCATGGATAAAAATGATTCAGCTGGTTGTCAAGGGGATGTGCCCCCATACCAAACCAGGTTATTAAGAAATATTTTGCTTTCCTTTTTGGAAATAAACCAATAAGCGTCTAGAATACAAGCAAAATTGAATTATATTATGTAAAATTCCACGGAAATTTTGTTGATTTTTGAGTTTGCCAAAAGTTATAAGATCTAAACTTCAAAATTCAAATTTCAAAATGGTTGAGAATTTGAGGTTAGAATGTAGTAGGACATGCTCGGTATAGTTTGAAAAAGGTGGAACAGAGAACATTTTATAATGGTTTACGTAGACATCAGAAAATCACCATTCATTTAAAGATTCATAAATTCAATAAATATTTGGGGAAATAAAGGAAAGGAAGTCAGATTTTAAGATTGTTAGTGGCATATATTTTCAGACGGAATCGAATGTTTACAAAATGAGATGCATAAAGGAAGACCATCAATCCGAGAATGTAGTGCTGTAAAATTAAATTTCGTATTGCGACTTTTCCGGTCTTTCGTACATTAACGTAGTTTTTTACGAGGACAGAGGTTTAATGATTTTCATGATCCGAGACAGAAAGTTATAGATATTATTTAACGTATAAACTTAGATCAGTTTGTCAGATTTTTTATGACTGGTTAAGAGACATAGGAAATTATTGAGTTAGACTGTGTAAAATTTATTCTGACTTCGGGTAAAGTAAAGGATTTTTGTTTTAATGCACCGGGTACGAGCATGTGTTTTTCCTTTTATCTGATAAAAATATAACTATTTTTGCTGTGTTTTTATTAAAAGAAAATGCATATTTATAAAGTAAAGACTCAGATTAATGAAAATAATAGTGTCATATATTTTATTAATATTTGTCAGTAATTATCAACGTTGTCCACGAACTTTACGGACAACCCTCTTTTATCGCAATAATTAGTTTTTTTAATGTCAAACTTAAATAAATACAAAATACAATGCTATAAGAAATGTTGTGAAGGCTTACTCGGTTCAACTTTGATAATTCAAGGTCACATGGATGGCAGAATCTATGAAAACAGTCATCTTGCAAGGAAAACAAGACCTGGTTACCAAGGCTGAAGAAATGACTGACGTCAAAAAGAACTTGTGTGTACAATTAAAGTGATCTTTCACGATGTAATTCTGTTGATTATTAATCATCAGATAGGAAAACAATGCAATTTAAATGTACGATACATGTATGCTTTTGATAAATGATGTGAATTATCATGGAAATCGAACTTTAAAAAAAATGATGTCAATTGGAAATAGAATTTGAGCATTTAAAAAAAATATGATGTGTAAATATATTAATGCCCAAAAGATTCAAGTAAGTTGAGCTAATACAATGTAAATGTACCTGTGAAATGTGCATATTTGTCACTAAGAACATACTAACAACAAACCCAACTTATATATGTTCAAAGTCATAAACATGCTAAAATGTCAATTTAATGTATATTGATCAAATATAGCTGATATGAAGAAAAAGTGCAACAACCTAAGTTTTCACACTCTAGTAATTGTGCTTTATTCGATATATTTCAGGTATTTTTTCAGCATGCAATATTTTGTGTTATTTTAATTTTAATCCAGAACTATACATTAAATAAAAAAAAATCATTTTTTAAACTTTTTTTTTGCTGATAAATTCAATAAAATTTGCAAATTCGATTTTTATTTTTTTATGACAATAGAAACGGAGGAATTTTTATTTTAGTACATATTATGCTATTTAACAATGCAAAAGGTATGGAAAGAAATGTTTGAAGAAGTAAAGAACTAATTAAGAAAATTGATATTTTTCAAGTTAATTAAAGGAGAAGGAAAAAAAACAATGGGCTTATATTATGCAATTCCGCTCCCAGTCGTCGTGTGGAATTGTGTACTATTTTTTCTTCTTGAAATCAATCTTTATATAACTGTTAGTAGAAGGTTTAATATAGGTTTTTAAAATTCAGCTAGTCTGTAGTTGTACCAATGCCATTATTTTTTCTTTCGGAAATTTCATCTAGAACTTTTTTTTTTTTAGATATTTGTTTGGTTAACTTGAGAGGGATTAAATCGACTTTGTCGTCCATCGTACTCGAATGTTTCACGACTTAACCAGTTGCAATATCTGTCACAAGAAGACAAAATCAAGCTAGACAAGAGAAAAGTCAGCTTGGCGGACCCATTGAAAAAAATATTTTGCTTTTTTTATCAGCTTAGAATTGAAACTGAAAATTGCCATGGAAATATTAAAGGAATACTTTTCCTCGAAAAAAAAAACTTTTTTTAATTTAAACTCATGAAGTTAGGAACCTTTTCAATCTAGGGTTTGCAAAAATCGGGAAATATTCATATTTCTCAGAACAGTTAGAAATACTTGTTATTCCCGGGAATTCGATAGGATATTTCCCGGGAAATACTGGGCAGCAATTAAAAGCTACTTATTTATATATCTAATCATCCTGCCTGGGTACATACATGAAATAAACATTAATTTTTAAGACATTAACTTTATACATGTATCACTGTTCATAAAGAAAACAAAGTTGATTTTCTATTTCTAAAAAAAAATTAAGTGGTATACTCGTATACACTACTGAATTAAATATCCCCTTAGATTCCAAAAAATCCCCTGTTGTCCCCCTGTCAGTCCCTGACATTTTCCTGTCTCTCCCTGACTTTCTCCTATGATCCCCTGTCGTTGTCCCTGCTCTCCCTGTCCAGTCCCTGTCGTCCCCTGTCGTTTTCCCTGCCTTCCCTGTCTACTCCCTGTCGTCCCCTGACATTCTCTGATCTCCCTGTCCAGTCCCTGTCGTCCCCTGTCGTTGTCCCTGCTCTCCCTGTCTACTCCCTGTCGTCCCCTGACATTTATTTTGGCCAAGAAAAGGAGTTTAAAATATATTTTTGTTGCATTTAAGAGTGAAAAATGATATAGTCTTGAAAACTTTAAGTATTTTATTTTAAATACACACTTAGTTAAAAGTTAACACATTTTTAAATGCCTTAACTAAATCCATATTATTTAGTTTTCACAACTTGTATCAATGTGATTTTTTTAGTTTGGTAGCATTTCGGGGGGAGAATTGCATCGATTCTAAAGAAGAAATAGATTACAAAATTATTGCATCTTGTGATGCTAGACGGCATATACATTGTACTTTATGAACCTTTTATATATATATTTATAAACTTTTTCATTTTATCTTCTTTGAAACATCTTTGAGCGTAATAAATGTCTTTGTAAAAGAACTAGATTTAAACATTTAGGAATAGATCGTCAAATCTATGTATGGGATTTTTTTTCCAAAGAATTTAAATGAATAAAAATAATTGACAGGAATGATATGTAAATGCATTAATAAAATAAATGTCTAAGAAATAAATTAAAACCATTAAATAAACTATTAATCTATTTTATTCATTTATTTTCTTATGGGAAAACATCTACAAATAGACTGAATTAAGATTGAATGGATAAATAAAATAGATAAATAAATAAATAATGAGAATTATATAAATTTATTCATTTATTTGTTAATTTTTTTAATTTATCACTCATTTATATCCCCAAAATTTGATTTATTAACTTTATTTTATTTATTTGCTGAAATATGCTACAATATTTTATAAGCATATTAAAACGACTTTTTATTTCTTTAAGTTCATGATGGATATCAAAATAATCGTCTCATTATGTACAATATTAATCTGTCAATTAGATTTTTGATACATTGATTTGATTTAAAAATTCGGTTTTCAAAACCCTAACACGGTTCTGAAAGAACATCAAAGCCATTGATGTTTACCAGTAATTAACTCGGGGTACACAGTCATGACACCTATTGTCTTTTTCACTGACCGCTATACCTTGTTTATGTTGTGTTCAGAGCGACCGTGTACAGTTAGCAGCTGTTTGAAATAACATTTCCTCTTTGTATGAGAACTTAGTTTTTTTTTCAATCAAAACAATATAAAAGTATCAAAGAAACTATTGACGGGTAAAGATTGTGCATAATGAGACGATTATTTTGATATCCATCATGGAAGTAAAATAATAAAAAGCAGTTTTAATATGCTTCAAAAATACTGACACATAATTTATAGTAAATAGTTTAACATAACATAAGCCAAACAAATCGCATTTTCGGGTATTTGATTATTTAATTTATTTGTATCGTCAGTTTAAAAAAAAATGTTTTTATAATAAGTAAATAAATGCAGTCAGTAAGTTTTTTTTATTATGATTATTTATAACTTTTTAGAATCACTTATTGTATTGCTTTTAAAAACTTACATGTGTAATTATTCCGAAATGCACCAGTACCCCCTGCCGTCTCTCTCTCTCTCTCTCTCTCTTTTTTTTTTTACAAATGGTACAAAGTCAAACAATTATTTAATGAATAAAAAAGATTACAGCGAAATAAATAAAAATAAATCAATGAATAATGTAATAATTAGTAATAAAATATCAATATATTTATTTACTTTTGAAATTGAAAATACCAAAAAATTAATCAATCATTTATATCTGCAAGAAATTGTGTTTCTTTAGTTTTATTTTACATAAACAGTTGCATCCTTAGATATGCTACAAAGTATTTTATTAGCATATTAAAACGACTTTTTATTTCTTTAAGTCCATGATGGATATCAAAATAATCGTCTCATTATGTACAATATTAATCTCTCAATTAGATTTTGGATACATTGATTTGATTTAAAAATTCGTTTTTCAAAACCCTAACAAGGTTCTGAAAGAACATCAAAGCCATTGATGTTTACCAGTAATTAACTCGGGGCACACAGTCATGACACCTATTGTCTTTTTCACTGACCGCTATACCTTGTTTATGTTGTGTTCAGAGCGACCGTGTACAGTGAGCAGCTGTTTGAAATAACATTTCCTCTTTGTAAAAGAACTTAGTTTGTTTTTTTTTCAATCAAAACAAAATAAAAGTATCAAAGAAACGATTGACGGGTAAAGATTGTGCATAATGAGACGATTATTTTGATATCCATCATGGAAGTAAAATAATAAAAAGCAGTTTTAATATGCTTCAAAAATACTTTGACACATATTTTATAGTAAATAGTTTAACATAACATAAGCCAAACAAATCGCATTTTCGGGTATTTGATTATTTAATTTATTTGTATCGTCAGTTTTAAAAAAAAATGTTTTTATAATAAGTAAATAAATGCAGTCAGTAAGTTTTTTTTATTATGATTATTTATAACTTTTTAGAATCACTTATTGTATTGCTTTTAAAAACTTACATGATAATTATTCCGAAATGCACCAGTACCCCATGCCGTCTCTCTCTTTTTCTTTTCTTTTTTTTTTTCTTTTTTTTTTTTACAAATGGTACAAAGTCAAACAATTATTTAATGAATAAAACTGATAACAGTGAAATAAATAAAAATAAATCAATGAATAATGTAATAATTAGTAATAAAATATCAATCTATTTATTTACTTTTGAAATTGAAAATACCAAAAAATTAATCAATCATTTATATCTGCAAGAAATTGTGCTTCTTTAGTTTTATTTTACATAAACAGTTGCATCCTTAGATATGCTACAAAGTATTTTATTAGCATATTAAAACGACTTTGTATTTCTTTAAGTCCATGATGGATATCAAAATAATCGTCTCATTATGTACAATATTAATCTGTCAATTAGATTTTGGATACATTGATTTGTTTTAAAAATTCGGTTTTCAAAACCCTAACACGGTTCTGAAAGAACATCAAAGCCATTCATGTTTACCAGTAATTAACTCGGGGTACACAGTCATGACACCTATTGTCTTTTTCACTGACCGCTATACCTTGTTTATGTTGTTTTCAGAGCGACCGTGTACAGTGAGCAGCTGTTTGAAATAACATTTCCTCTTTGTAAAAGAACTTAGTTTGTTTTTTTTTTTCAATCAAAACAAAATAAAAGTATCAAAGAAACGATTGACGGGTAAAGATTGTGCATAATGAGACGATTATTTTGATATCCATCATGGAAGCAAAATAATAAAAAGCAGTTTTAATATGCTTCAAAAATACTTTGACACATATTTTATAGTAAATAGTTTAACATAACATAAGCCAAACAAATTGCATTTTCGGGTATTTGATTATTTAATTTATTTGTATCGTCAGTTTTAAAAAAAAATGTTTTTATAATAAGTAAATAAATGCAGTCAGTAAGTTTTTTTTTATTATGATTATTTATTACTTTTTAGAATCACTTATTATATTGCTTTAAAAAACTTACATGTGTAATTATTCCGAAATGCACCAGTACCCCCTGCCGTCTCTCTCTCTCTCTCTTTCTTTTTTTTTTTTTTTTTTACAAATGGTACAAAGTCAAACAATTATTTAATGAATAAAGCAAATTACAGCTAAATAAATAAAAATAAATGAATAATGTAATAATTAGTAATAAAATATCAATCTATTTATTTACTTTTGAAATTGAAAATACCAAAAAATTAATCAATCATTTATATCTGCAAGAAATTGTGTTTCTTTAGTTTTATTTAACATAAACAGTTGCATCCTTAGATATGCTACAAAGTATTTTATAAGCATATTAAAAGGAC